CTGGGCTTGGCAGAGCCTGTCTGCTCCAGGAGGGCTGGGGGCACTGCCCTGGCCTATCCTGCCTAGGGCTTTGGGTGGCTTTAACCTGGCCTTGACCTTCCTGCTTCCCCTTACAGCCTCCCAGGTTGAGGCCAAGCTTGAAAGCCCCAACCTTTCCAGGCAGTTGGGATTGCAGCCTTCCCATGAACCCGAGACTGTCAGCCCAGCACTGGTAACCAGATGCCATCGGGGATGTCTCCCAGTTCTCCAGTGCTGGACACCGTCAGACCCAGCACCACTCAGCCAATAGAGAAGTTGCCGTGACAGGAGCTGTGTGGCAGCTCCAAGTGCTGCGAGCCGCACCCCCAGGCAGGAAGCATCGAGGACATGACACACGTGAAACTGGATCTGATAACAACACATCAAATGCCTTTATCAAATCCCTTCAATAAATGTATTAGACTGCTTTTTAAAATGTTTTTGTGTATTTGCGAAATTATGCAAGTGGCACATTCGATGTCGTAGTGTTTAGTGGATTGTTTCATCCTCATGTTTCACCTGACACATTGGAGGCTATTGCAAAGAGCAAGGCTTAGTATCTTTGTTCAGGTTCCGCTTTCTTGCCCTTTTGCCTTCTGGCACAGCTTTTCTTTCAATGCAGCTCTGCCACCGCCTGGGTGTACTGAAGGCAGGGAAGCAGTGCCGCTGTGTTGGCAGCCCCGTCGTGTCCCTGCTGTCGGCGGCCCCGGGACAGGAGCGGCCCCGGCGCTGCCATGGCGGGTTCCCCTCAGGGCAGTCCCAGCCGCCCTCGCATGGCGGTGTCGCCGTATCCCTGGCAGGACGAGGCAAAACCCGGGCGGGAAGAGTTAATGCCGTTTTTTATATCGCCCCATTCGTTCTTGCCTTGTGGTGTATTTTTTTCATTCGACAGGGCTGTCTTGATTGAGCTTTCATTTTCTCTCTTAATGCTCTGCATTCATGGCAGCCAGTCCTACACGGCTCGCTGAGTTCTGTGGGTAAGGCAGAGCGCCTGCCTTTTGAACAAACTGTGCAGTTATGAGCTCTGCATGCACACAGGATAAAGAACTAAGTTGTTTACACTGACAGCTGTGTTTTTCTGCAGCTCAGTTGGCATATATTAGCTGTCTGACACTGCACGTATAGACCCTGTGGATCTCCCCACTGCCAGCCCTGCTGTGTGTCCCAGCTCTGTCACACTGTCACCGTGCTGTGTGTACCACTGTTACTGTGTGTTAACACTGGCACTGTGTCGTGTGTCACACTGTCATTGTGCTGTGTTTTACACTGCCACTGTGCAGTGTTTGCTTCCAGACCTTGGAGTGAAAGGGCGGGGGGGGGGAAGCAGGTGTGAAATACAGTGAGAAAAGAAGGATTAAATAAGAGAGACCAGTTGCTTCCTGATGCAAAACTCAGCTCTCTGTTATATAAGGCTGTTTTCTTCTCCAGCCCCACCCAATGTCACTCTGCCGTGTGCACACTCTCCTTCTCTTCCCCATGCTGGGTGCATAAAGAACCTTTGAAAAAAAAAAGATTAGAGCAGCACAGCATTTTAGGAACATCAGTGGAAGCCATCACCAGTCATCCCTTTGCTGAAGACAGGTGCTGTTTTTAACCAGCATTTCATTACAGCGGGTCTGTTGACATCCATTTTGTATAATCCAAAAATAGCTTGTTCAGCTTGGGAGTGAGGACATCCTCCCTAAAGGTCTGGGGAGCCTGAGGCTATGTCTTTGGTATGTTCAGAAGGCAAATCTCCAGTCAGCCTTAATCCAGCTGGACTGAGTACCACAGTACCCAAATAGAAACTCAGAGTTTGTCGCGGGTTCACCAACTGAACAAGTGTCCAGGCTTCCCAAGAGGCTTCTAAAACTTGAGACAATCAAATCTGGCCCTAGCCTGGCTGCTACAGTCATTTAGTCTGCCTTAGCACAGGAATGTAACTTTTTAATGTGACTTATGAGTGAGAACACCATTCAAATCATTAGGACACTAATACTTGAGGGTTTGGCCATGCTACTGGGTTGCTTAAATTCTTGTGTATTCAGCACAGTCGATGAGTGTAGTTACTGAATGAACTGCACACAGTTGTATTTCCCTGGAAACAGAAAGGTAAAATGCTTTAGCTGTGGGTTAATACAGAGCAGCTCTTAAGTAGCCGTGCTTTCATGGCAGTGATGTCCTGTGTCCAGGCTCTGGATATGTATGTTACTTTTGAGAAGACAAAGATATCCTGCTGCTTCTGACAATGTTATTACATTTGGAAGAACAGGTGCTATTCAGAAGAGATGGTGCTGAGCATGTGCATGTTGTTACTCTGTGTCCAACTCAAGGCAATGTGATAAATCTTAACCACAAAAGCGGTTTAATGTAACTCATTCTATGGGGCACCAACAGTTTCCATGATTCAGCTGGGAAGCTGTTATTCCATATAACTTGCAAACTTGTTTTCACCCAAGGCAGGTAAGTGCTGAAACACTTGAGTGGAGCAGTGCCTTAAAAAAAAAATATAAACCATGCTCATACTTGTGATGGTGGTGAAGAGCCTGCTGTCTGCAAAAACTCTCAGTGCTACAGACTGCACTAGGAAAGAAGGCTGCAGCTGTCTTAAAGACATTTGTGTTTTCACATTTTACCTAAGTTATTGCGGAGCAAAAAGGAAGCATCATTATTGTTCAATTTGCTGACACATTAATATACTTGTATTTGAAATAAGGTATCTTTGGCCTCTCCAGTTCCACGTTTAGGACTGGATTCTGTCCTCAGAAGCGCACGAATTTCTTGGGTCATCAGAGAGTTTGCTGCGATCTCCTGTCTGTGCTGCCAAGGCCACTGAAGTTAGCAGGGAAGCAGTTGAGTGGTGTGCCAACATTCCTGCCTCCCTCTGTCCCGTGGGCATGGTGAGGAAGAGGAAGGGTTAGCAGGAGCTGCCTCAGTCATTTGCTCTCGGTGTTAGTCACCACGTTCTCATTTGGGTTTCCTTTTTTTTCATTGGTGGGGTTCAAACAACGCTTTGTGTACAAACACAGCTTCCAAGGAAACCAAATTCGGTTGGATGGGTTGCATTAGGCAGAACTACAGAATTCAGTTTACCAGTAACATGTTTGTACATGCAACTATTTATTGTATACATCCAATGTGTATTGTTGCAACCTCCCCAAAAATGCATATCTTCACATTTCCCTGTTTAACTGACTCCTGTGATGAAGGGCTTGGGACTTCTTGACCAATTACCTTTTGTAATTGCAGAAGGAATTTCCCATTCACCCCAAATGAGTCAGGTTTTAGTGGTGGCTGTTTAAGTCCCACTTTCTGTTGAACATTTTCACAATAATACTGGTTTTGAAGATGACACCTGAAGTTGTAACAATTGTTTTACTGATGGACCTGAAATAATGAGACATCCTTAGTGACTTAGTTTTTTAAATTATACATAGGGGATTTTCTCAGTAGCTTGGCCTATTACTTGGGATCATTCACTTTAATATCACTTTTTATGATCAAAGGCTATTACTGAATCCCATGGGCCTCTCAGGGCTTGCTCCAGTGTATCAGTTCTCAGGACATTAAAGTTGTTAATTTTATTATTTTATTCTGGGGCTTGCCCCGAAGTCAACATTGCTTTGCACCAGAATAGGGGCTGAAGAGGTGGGATGTTAGCTTTTCCATT